GTTACGATGAGGGACCGTCCTGACAGGAACCGGGTCGTCAAGAGTCCGCACGGCCCGACATGTTCGGCGGGTGCGACTGTGCTCGTCATCGGATACTCATTTGCGCGAGGGTGGCGGTGTGGGTACTGAAGCTGAAGCGGTCCGCGGTTGTTGGTATCATGCACAGCAAACATGGTACGCATTGGCCGCCACGGATTTTCATCACTCGCGAATTCTTGCCGGCCATTTGAAAAGTAGAGTATAGCCCGCAAGTTTGGTGTACCGTATAGATTGGTGAGTATTGCTCGAGCTAGAAAAAGGGCGGAATAGAGATGAGCCAGTCGCGATTGAGGAAAACGTCGAGCGATGGGAGCTACCGCGAAATCTAAATCAATTATTCGTTGCAAGGCTTATCGGCCCTTTTCCAACTCAAGCAATACTCACCAATTTATACGGTACGCAATCAATCAGACAGCTCTCCTACGCGAGGAGCCTCGGCGTTCAGCCTGTAGCTGACAGGTAAGATGGCGGGGAAGGACCCTGCCACCATGTGCATTACGCGCAACCGAGATGGCCGTTCCGTCACCTACTCACCCTAAGTTAGCACATCTCGTCGGAGTAACCAACCACATTGTGTTAGTCGTGATCAGCTCTGCACAAAGAAGCCTCCCGTCTTGAGCGACAAAGTCCTCGCAAGCGTCTGGCCGTTCATATCAGCCACGTATTTCCCACGTCCAACAGCGGCCCGCGCGGACAAATCGCGCAGAGCTTTAGTCGGGTTTTTAGTCGCATGACGCAAGCACGCACTCGTCTTGGTCCATCGCTTACCGCACGTTCGGATGACCTGCGCTAGGAATAGGTCTTGGAACACTTTTTCCTGACTATGATGGCTGGCTACGCTGGGGCTATGCCCACCAAAGGTAGTCCCTCTCCCGGCGTCAGTGGACAAGGTACATTGGACTTCTACATTAAAAAGCACGACCCCGTACTTGGCGGGTGGGAGTCCTTCCTCATTTCCTTGATGAATCCTTCAGCGTAAATCACTTGGCCTGTACGCCCGAGTAAAAGGTCGAGAAGGAAGCTCTGAATCCTTTACCGATCCTTCCGCCCTATCGTTCAGGATGATGAAGCTTTTCGCAGCAGCAGCCCTTCTGGGAGCTTCGTGGGCCCAAAACTCGTCGCTACCAGAAGTCGATCTTGGATATGAGATCTACAGAGCTGCTGGGTTTAATGTTTGTTCTCCTTCACAAGATCTGGTATCTCGCAGCTAACTCAATTGCAGAGCACCGGCAACTTCTATAGTAAGCTGTCTCACATGACGCTCATAAGAGACCATTGCTGATGTCAATCTCCTTACTATAGACTTTAGTAACATTCGTTACGCCGCACCTCCAATTGGTGACTTGCGATTTGCTCCTCCACAAGCCCCGGCGAAAAATCGGTCAGCCGTTAACAACGGCGACATCTCAAGGTAAATATGTATTTCATCAAACACAAGATTACTCGGCTGACACGTGCAGAATTTGCCCTCAGGCTAGTCCCGCATGGGGTCAGGCATCCACACAATTCCTGGGAGCGGTGTTGCTCGGTCTCCCCATACCAAACATCACATACGTAGCTCCCGGAGCCAATTCGAGCAGTCCCATTCCAGCCCGGGACCCTCGCGAATCTGAGGACTGTTTGTTTCTGGATGTTTTCGTGCCTCAGGATGTACTTAGCAAAGCCGGAAAAGGTTACGGTGCCCCGGTCTTGGTCTGGATCTACGGTGGTGGATACACAAATGGCAACAAGAACCAAAACCCGGCAGGACTGATTGCCGCCTCCGGCAATTCGTCAAACGGCGACATTATATACGTCTCGCTCAACTACAGACTCGGCGCTCTTGGATTCTCTTCTGGTCCGACATTCAATGCTGAGGGCGGCACCAGCAACCTTGGCCTTTATGATCAGCGATTCGCTCTGCAATGGATACAAGACCATATCCACCTCTTTGGAGGAGACAAAAATCGTGTGACTGTTGTAGGCGAGAGCGCTGGTGGCGGTAGCATCATGCATCAGATCACTGCGTACGGTGGCACAAAGGGCAAGGCACCATTCCAGCAGGCTGTGCCACAATCACCCGGCTTCGCTGCTGTTCAATCGGTCGTCCAACAGGAGGATACTTTCCAGAAGTACCTGGAGCTAACAAACACCTCGTCCCTTGCTGAGCTTCGCGCCCTCTCGTCTGAAGAGCTCATCATTGCCAACGCGCAGCAAATTGCTTATGACGCTGCCTGGGGAACTTACGTGTACGGACCTGTGGTAGATGGTAACTTTGCCCCTCAACTTCCTGGACAACTCCTTGCGCAAGGCCGATTTGATAAGGACGTACGTGTCCTTGTCGGACACAACAGTGCGGAAGGCACATACTTTACGCCTCCTTCGGTCCGATCTGATGCAACTCTTCTCACTCAGCTCAGATCTGCTTATCCGTATGCTCCCCAGAAGTCTCTGGATTACATCATCAACACGTTGTACCCAGCTGTCTTCGATGGATCCTATCCTTATACTACCGAATATCAAAGGGGCAGTCTGATCATCGCGGAGGGGGTATTCACTTGCAACACGAATTACCTGTCGACCGCATATAAGAACCAGACTTATTCATACCTGTTCGCTGTTCCTCCTGGGTTCCACGGTCAGGACGTTGCGTACACCTACTATGATGGTGGAGCTCTCGCACCGCCACTGGGCGTCACCAACCGCACGGTTGCGATTGCGTTGCAAGACTTCATTGCGAGTTTTGCAGAGACGGGTGCGCCCGAGGCTGATGGCATCCCGCAATTCAACATGTATGGCGAGGATGCCGGCGTACTCAAGCTGAACATTACGGGCATCGAGGAGGTACGTGACAGCAATGCCAATGCCAGGTGTGCATGGTGGCAGAAGGGCTTGTACTAGAGCCAAGGAATCTCGAAAAGCACATAGTGGCCAGTATAGTAATCGTAACGGAGAGATACGCAAATCACTGTGTGGATCGTGGACATCGCGATGGCTCATGCTTCGAGCTTAGGCGTTCGCTAGTCCGCGTGTTGGCTGATCATAGCTACGTCATCGCACTGCATCACACACGAAAGCCCAGACTACTCTTCGTTCCTTAAAGCTCCCTTCTGCAACTTCAGCTAACATCATCTTCACGAACTCCCTCCCAACTGTCCATCACACGCAATCCATCAATTCACCCCCACCTCAACACCACACTCCCCACCCAAATCATCACCATGTTCCGCCAACAACTCGCCCGCCAGGCTCGCCTGTTCAGCACCACCCCGATTGCGCGCAAGAGCCCCGTCGAGACTATCAAGGATGCCGCAAAGGCTGTCGACAGGACAATCTCAGGTGCCGCCGTAAAGGGCATTGAGAAGGGCGGTAAGTCAACAACCCTCGCAACAAGATCATTCCCCAACATCGCCTGATGCTTCATGCCCGCTCTTCAGCGGAGAACATGACCATGTCCTACCGTTCGTAGGCAATCCAAGCCATTGAGCGAATCAACTAACATCTTCACCAGAGCAAGTAGCGGATGCCGTCAAGGAGGCCGTCCCCGAGACGACTGGTGAGGCCAAGGGCAAGGCCAAGGAGGTTGCCGGCGAGGCCAAGGGAAAGGCAGCAGAGCTTCAGGGCGAGGCCAAGGCCAAGGCGAATGAGCTCCAGGGCGAGGCCAACAAGAAATTGTAAAGCGTGGCATATATCGAGGATAAAGCACACCGCGAGCGGTAGATCCCAAGCTAGCACAGTTCAATCAGCGAGAGCGTGCTCGACATGGAGATCGTGGATGAATTAGCTTAATGGTTTAATGCATATAAACTTGTCATGCCATGTTGCTGTGCACGAAGACGTTTTGACGTTGTTTGTTCTCGGGCCTTTCACGACCTAGATCTGCCATCATCACCCTACGTCGTGAGCGACGCTACAACTGCTGTGGTTGATCTGATTGACTTGCATACATAACTTGCATACATAACCTGCGAACCGTCAGGCACAGATTTGAAAATGTGAAATTCCAAGACTTCATCACCGGATCAGTCCACGATCCGCGTTACCGCACGCGCATAGGCCACAACGTGTGGCGTCACTACTGCACAACACGAACGTAAACACTGGGTCCATGACAACACAAATGCATGAAGGAATACCGATACCTTCCGGCTTCTCCATGAGCTGCAAGTCGACGATTCGTAGAGCCGATCCATTCGCGTTCTACACTAGGACCTGCATGTTTAGTGTAGTCGCAAGAGAGTAACGAATGTTGCTCGTTTTGCTCACCTCGGTAAAGATACTGGATGTATGAATGCAGCAACGAGCGGTGAAAAAAAATGCAACCCGATCAGCAGTCGGCTTTTTCGTATGCTGTCGAGCAATGGCTATCTCACGCAGCACAGCTATGACGTTCAGCTCTGCATTGAGATGCGTTGGACTCGTAGTCGCAATGATAGCTATTTTGAAATAACCTTCATCTAACTTGAAGCGTTAAGCATCTTGCATATCAACCACATCACGCTTTGGCTTCGTTCATACCTCCATCAGCATAGCCACGGATCATCATGGATAGCCATACTAACTTTTGTACACTTGTTTATACGGCGATGGTACTGCTATGAGAATGAAAATTGCTAATTCTAGAGCTTGGACGAAGGAAGAAATCCGTTATAAACGTCAACGTTCCAGAAGCACCGAATCGCCCAGAAAGGAGACGAAGAGTGGGAGGAGTGACCTGGCGCGTGGATTTGCTTAAACAGTACATGGCTGCTCAATTGCCTATTACTGTATCCCTTTACTTCGACTTTAGCGAGAGGTGTGCCTACTGAAATGAATTTCTCAATAGTCATGCCGTGTGCCCCGCAGCAGAGCGGAATTACCCAGCTCTCTGCACCACCCACCCGACGCTATCGTCGGCCTTTTGCTAGCAGCGCGGAGTCATGAAGGATATAAATACAAAACCTGGTGCCGCTCTTATCAATGAGCCTCATATCTCTGCCTCATCTTTGATGGTCTAGTGGTCATGATTTCCGCTTGTCATTCTTGAATGAAAAGCGCGGGAGACCGGGGTGTAAGTTTATCATGTGACCTGTTATTTTCGTCTGATCTAACATGGGATGAACAGTCGATTCCCCGTCAGAGAGCATATCAGCCAGCATGTAGCTGTATCTTTTTGCCTTTTGCACCCGGTCTGGGCGTGATCCCCTCTAAAATGGCGACTACGGGTATTTTTGGCCTCTTAATAATCAAGAAGTCATTTTTTTCAGGTGCGCATTGCTTCTAGGTAGAGCTGGTAACTTATAGAAAGCGTAGTAGACCATAGAGCATATCCCTTGAACCATGCTCCATGACTTTCGTGTAACTCAAAGCATGCCATACATGGTTTTGCTCAGAAGTCAGTGTAAGCTACACGGTACCTGAAAATCATATGAACTTCACCAGGCTATTTGCAAACAGACCTAAAAGCTGGTGTATACAGGCAACGAGGGGCCTAGTAGTTTGCTGTTATGACATTGATGTGTACATGCTGGTATGCAAACTCATCAGTACTAGATTGGTCACATGAATAAGTCTAAAAGCGACCCAATATCTGCCTTCTTACTTCCCCTCATTTTCCTCTTCTTGTCTGGTTCTGCAGTCTTCTGTTGTAGTGACAGTGCGTCACTGCTACGTTTGCTTGCTAATCCTGCGTCTTGCTTTCGATTGCGGAAGAACCAGGATACTTCCTTCGCTTGAGCATTGCGCTGCGGCCAGCCGTAGGACAAGGACACACGCGATTTTGGATCCGCAGTCGCCGTCGAGCCTTGCGCCAGCTTTGTTGCGAGATCATACAGCATCTGCATTTGGGTCACCTTTGTTATCTTCGGATCAATCCAGATCTGCCGCGGTGTTTTCTCTGTGGCTGATGACAGCTTGTCTTTCCACCTACACAGATTAGCGCGATTCGGAATGGTTCGCGACGTTCTCATTCACGTACCAGATTTCGTCCGTCTTGAGCCACCCACAGTCTGGTCGCTGGGAGTGACTGCCTCCTGGACTAGGTCTCTGTGTCCCAAACAGCACTAGCGACGGGAACTTCATCGTCTGGTCGAGTGTAAGGGTCATGTTTGACGCCATACCCAACAAGACAAGGACCTTGAGTTTCTGGAAGGCATCCGTTTCACGGGCAGCACGACCCCAATCGCTGATGTTCTTAGACGTTAGGTTCAGGCTGTTACCTCTGAGCTCAGGGTCGAGAATGAGTACCGCCAGATTAGAAATCTTGAGCAGGCTGAAAAGGTGGTCGACGTTGAAGTGAAGATTCTGTATACATAGAAACGATAACGTACTGCTGTCCAGTTTTGAGAAGCGGTCGACAATGGAAGGTAGTTGGATTGGAGTCGAGGGGTTTGGCTTCGACCAGAATGTTGTCGTATCTGCGTCATGGTACCGGAACGCGTGATGACGGTCTATGTGGTCTGGGAACGCGCGCTGGAAGATATTCCAAGCATTATATGAGAGTGTGTCACTTTCAACTCGTATTAGCAAGTCATCCAGAAAGAACAATGGTACAGAGACACCCACGCTTTCTTGAGCTCATTGTAAATTTGACTGGCATAATGCCACCCAAGCCACTGCAAAGCAGATGGCTCAATGTCGTTGATACGCCACAGACATGAGCGCATAGCGGTGTCCTTCAAAGATGCAGTTCCATTCCATCGCTCTTTGTAAGTCGACGGGTCAACTCGTCGTCCGCTTGTGTACCTTGACCAGGCTGGTATCATGGAGCGCACTTCGTCAGACACGGTCTCCGTGAAGACTTGACCAGAAGCTTCATCGTAAATCGCCATAGATTCGGTGTTCCTTAGACTGGAAGAGGGTATCAAATAGGCAGTGCCACGAGGTGAGAAGTCTTCGGACGCGTTCTTTGATCGCGCGTTGAAACCCTCCTTTACCTATGCGCTCAGAGCATCACCAAAGCGATTGAATCTTGAAGTATTCTTCCTTTTTAAGTCCCGATTTCAAGCATCTTGGGACTTTTGATGGTGCAACAGGCAGTTCAAGCACTGGTGTTCGTATCGATAGGACGACGCGTTGTCGTTGGCCCCACGACCGTGGAAAACAGCCCCAAATGCAACGCGTAAGCACGTGAGCAGGTACTAAATCATCATCACCACGCTTGAATTGAGTGAGCTTTTGAGTAAGGAAATCTGCACAGCCTGACTAGGATGCAGTTTAGAGACTCGCAAGAATAATAAGTCCCTTGTACAACTGTCTTCTCCCGTACACTCAAAGTGTCGTTGCAGCCCGCATTTATCAAGTTCAACACTGCAATTTCTTTGCTAGCTTCGGTCCTTTCTCCGCAAATCGGACTTGCATCATTCTTCCCTATTTTGTTCATCTCAAGGTCAGCAGATTGAGACCTATACTCAACACACTTAAAGCTTCGATCTTTCTCCGTCTTAGAACCCAAAATCGAACATTCTGGATTTGAGAAAGACTAAAATTCCACCACAGAATCCTCTATTCCTTTTCGCGACAATGTCCACCACTACCACAACCAAATCCCAATCCCCATCCTCAATACCAACCGCCATTAAATCCCGCATCCCCATAATCCTAGACGGCGCCCTAGCAACGTACCTCGAAACCCTCGGCGCCGACATCAGCGGCTCCCTCTGGTCTGCAGACATTCTCATCAAGAACCCTTCTCTAATCAAACGCGCACATCTCGACTACTACCGTGCAGGCGCCCAAGTCGCAATCACCGCGTCCTACCAGGCCTCCTTACCCGGACTCCTGCAACATCTGGGAACCACCGAACATGACGTCAAACAAGTAGTCAAGACTAGCGTACGGCTGGCGCAGGAAGCGCGAGATGAGTATGTGGATGAAATTGTGGGTGCGACGACTGAGAGAGAAATGGCAGAGATGGTGAAGCGAGGCGGCTCCAAGGAGGGCTATCGAGATGTTGTCAAGGCGGGACTTTGGGTCGCGGGAAGTGTGGGACCGTATGGTGCGTTTTTGGCAAATGGGTCGGAGTATCGGGGTGATTACTCGTTGCCGCGGGAAGAAATGAAGGAGTTTCACAGAGGCAGGATAGCAGCGCTTGTGGAGGCGGGTGCGGATATTCTGGCCATTGAGACGATTCCGTCAAAGGAAGAGACGGAGGCGTTGTTGGAACTGCTGCAGGTTGAGTTTCCGGAGACGATGGCCTGGTTTACATTTACTTTGGCAGGGGAAGATGCGATTGCAGATGGGACTGCGCTGAGTACCTTGGTTCCGCTTTTCGAAGGGGTGGAACAGGTTGTTGCCTTGGGATTCAATTGTGTGCCGGATGTTTTGGGGCTGGCTGCTATAAAGACTCTGAAGCCGTTGCTTAATGAGCATGGTATGGGGCATGTGGGGATTGTCATCTACCCAAATTCTGGAGAACAGTGGAATGCACAGGCAAGGGAATGGGAGGGCAAGAGAACGGAGGGAGGACTGCTGGGCGAGAAGACGAGGGAGTGGTATACAGCGGGTGCGAGATTGGTAGGAGGTTGTTGTCGGACGACGCCAGAAGATATTGGGGTCATGAGGAAGGTCTTAGAAGGGCTGGGGCAGTAGACAGCACGTTCAAGACCTATTGGCTTTCATGGCTGCACGATGTGCAATTAGATGATACTCTTCTAAGGATAGCACCATGGTAAGAGCGACTTTGGCCCCTACACTGAACTGGAAACTACAAGTCTACATCCCGAAACGACTTTATCGCTTTTTCATCCTCTGGAACGCCAGTCTTACATCCAAATTCCGCGGCATTCATCGCTTATCCTGCTCTTTCCGCCCTTCACGTTCTCGTCGGCAAGTAAGCCCCACCTGCGAGCACTAAATTCATGCGCGTGAACTGCACCTTGTACACCGGACTCTCCTTCGTCGGAAACGCGCTGATCTGATCAGCACTGACACCCGTCTCCTTTGCCGCCTTCTTGTTTCCAGTGACTGTCGTTCCACTCGCGCCTTTCGTCGTCATCGCACCGTCGGCCTTGGCCACCACACCCTCAGCCGCCTTGTCGCTCGTCTCTTGTAGCACATCCCAGACACGCACTGTCTTGTCTGCGCCGGCCGAGACCAGCACACTCGATTCCACGCTCCAGGAGAGCGACCAGATTCCGCCTTTGCCATGGCCGCGCATGCGCTTGCGGCGACGACCGGTCTCGAGAGTCCAGAGTATGATATTGCCTGCGTCGTCGGCAGAAGCGAGAGTCTTGCCGTCAGGGGAACATGATATAGCTGTCACGTTGCCCGTGTGCCCTGTGAACAGACGGAGGCAATTACCCCCCGAGATGTGCCACATGCGTACGGTGCGGTCGCATGAGCCTGTGAAGATATACAGGTTGTTTGGGTGGAAGGCAACGCAGTCAACGTCGTTGTCGTGGCCGACGTATATGCGCAGTGGCTCAATGTGGTCTGTTGACCAGAGACGGGCTGTGCGGTCATTTGACCCGGTGAGGAAGTAGTGGCCATAAGGACCCCATTGGAGATCCCAAATTGGGTTGTCGTGGCCGCGGTAGGCGACGAGGCAAGTGAATGTATCAAGAGACCATAACCGGACGGTTTTGTCTTCCGAACATGATAGGAGGCATTGTGAGTTGGTGGGTGGGCCGGTGGGATCGGGGTTGGCTGTTGCTGGTGAGAATGCAACTGCGTAGACAGGGCCTGAGTGGCCAACTAGGCGGCGAGATGATGACGGTTGCGCATCAGGCGCATCATCCGGGGATGTAAGTGGGCTTCCGTCCATGGACCAGACACGGATGTATGATTCTGCCATACCCGCCGCAACATGTCGGTTGTCCCCCGAAAAGTCGATGCAATTGATGCTGACCAACAGTTAGTAGATGAGATAGACTTGAATGTACTGATGAAACTTACCTGTCGAACGTGTTATGGAAGGTATACATAGTGACGCTGACAGCAGGGCCAACGCCACCTGTTCGACCTTCCATTTTGTACCGATCGCGGTGCTCGATAATCTTCTGCACTTCCATGGACACATCGCGCGCCAGAGATGGAGGCAGAGGGACAGTGTCTCGCGAGGGCCCATCTTCAGGCGACTCCCGCTTGATACGCTGCTCGAATTCGTCTACTAGCGTTGGCTGTCCAGGTCGTGGCACGCTCTTGG